AAGGAGAAATTAGGCAATGGAAATGGATTTTGAACTAAAGGCAAATAGATATTTATTTATAAATATATGCAAAATATTAAGCTTAAGTCAGATATTTCCTGTGTGATAAATCAGCTGCTGTGTTTTTGTTATCAGATTCAAAGCGATATAACGACTTTGAAGATTCTTTCTGAAAAGCCAATAGGGTAGATGATTAATTATTTTTGTGGAACACATATTTTATATTTACGAAAGCAACAGAGAAGGTACAGAGGAGTCAGCAAGGCGCAGCCAGCTGAAGACAGTATTACATTAATCTGACGTGGGCAGCCACAGGTCACTTTATAGTGTATTATGTTTGTTGGATCAAATAATCTAATCTAATCTAAATAAATCTAATTCCACTGAAAATTTGCTACTGCAAATTGTCAGTGGAGGGTCATTAACTTAATGACATAAATGGTGCTGGTAACATGTCATAAAGTCCATACTTCTTATGATCTCTCCATACTCTCATGTCTGTCTGCAGCATGGCAGTGCTTTGTGTGGATCTGCAGCCCATGAGAGAGACTCACCTGGTTTGTCAGTGTTAATTCTCCTGTTTCCTGTGTTTTACTGCCATGATTCTGTCTAGTGCAGCTTTTCCTGGAAATCATGACATGATCAGAACCAGACAGTTAAAAACAGACAATAACTGTAGGAAATTTTCATGCATAGATGATATAAACTCAAAAATAGGACTATTACACAATTTAACCTGTAGAACAAGTGAATGACGTACTGACATAGAACCTACTGTAGGCCAGTTTTATTCTCACTAGATCAAAGAAAACCAAACCCATGATAACATTTTGTTGAGTATTTTGAGTGAAATCAAATCAGTGAATCAAATGAGTGAATCAGAATAAACTCAAACCATGTCCAGACACTCACTTGAGAATAATCGTCAATAAGATGCAGGTGAGAATCATCCCAGCAGCCCCTGCAGCAGCGCCAATTAAAATGGGCAGAGCTTTGGCAGCTGCAAACAGAGGGTGTGTCAATTATATTACTGGAAACCAACACTGTTAGGGAGATCAGAAACCTACAGCCACGCCCATAATGTCTGTGCTTCACATTCACCCTGATGGGTGACATTCTGCAGCAGTTAGTCCTGTAATTTAAGACAGTAATTAAATTCAGTGCCAGTAAAATGATTGAGGACACCAGCTTGACACCAAGTTTTTCCCAGTTATCTATAAACAGGAAGTGGACGTCTGAGAGTTGGCAGTCAGTATTATAGCTTGATGAGCTGTAA